CTTCAAACATACCGCATTTTATTCATTCTGCTTGTAATGTCATTTTTCTTTCTTGCTTGCTTTTTTGAAGAAAGAATGAGATATGAAACTCAACTTGATATAATTTTAATTTCGTTTAGTTTTAGTTAAAATTGTATCAAGTCGCGTTTCACATTTCGTTTATATTTATTCTTCAAATCGCACAAAACTCGCACAATTAATTCGTAGAATTGTGGCTAATTTGTCTTTCTCCATTGGGAACGAGCGTGACTAGTAAGAGGATGGATTACCCACTTCTGAATATCAAACCGTGCATCATTATGGGGTTAGTCACTATAAAGTAGAGAATTGTGACGTACTGCCTTTCTCTATTGTGTGAAAACTACCATTAGTAAGAGGATGGGTGGCCCAAAAATCTTTCCACGATCGAACCACAACCTGAAAATCACATGGTTCTATTACCAGAAGCGACAGTACGTTATTGTTTTTGAACTTATCGTTTTTGTCTTATAACATTCGAATGAAAAACTGTCTAAAATAGAGAAACGTCTCTTTTTGTGCTCTTCAAAATTCCATCTTCAGCTCGATCTACTCGAAATACTAGAAAGCCTTTAGATAACATTCATTGTTTTAAGGAGTCTGTTTGTATTCAGACAGACAAAGCGAGCAAAAATCTTAACACACTGACACTTCCGGTATCAGAGTTATGTGATTCTTATTTTATTTCACTATCACTGCATCAGTGCTCAGAATTATGCATCGAGTCAACATTGTGCAAAGCAGTCTTCAGTTAATATAAACCAATAATCTTACAACGATTCTCTGAAAGTCTTGATCGAAATTTAATCCTTCGAAAATATCTTAGAAATAAATAAATTGATTATAATAAATTCTATCAAATTGTTGTAGACCCAAACAGATTTGCATTGGTCAGATACATAGGTAAAATTAATTTTGAGTAGAGAATTCTCATTTAGTGTGCACAATAAAATTTTCCCTAAGCAATCTTCTTTATTATTTTGCATCATCACTTTCATCTCTTCGCATTAATGTTTGACACTTTGTACGCACAGTCTGCTCTAGAGTTATATTTCTTCATCTTCCATTTAATTGTTGTTATCTGTTACAACAGTGTAGAATTGTAAAATCATCGAATGTTCCATTTAATAAAGAAAAATTCAATTATTTTTAACAAGTGTTACTATAATGGGAACAAATTTTGATTTTACATATTTTGCACTTTTCTTTTTTAACTTGTAATAATATTGTTTTTACATTGTAGGTCCTCATCAGCAAAGTAAGTGATATTTTAGAAATTGTTCGATTATGCTTTTAACTTGTGTTTGACGTTTAGTTTAAAGTAGCTTTTGTTGTGTCAATTTGTTATAGTAACAGTCACTGTGAATTAGAAAAATTTTATACAAAATGGTTGAGAACTTGTTTGAGAGTGTCAATACTAAATAATAGACACTTTTATAAAATTATGAAACTTAAATTTTAAACATTTTCATCCGAAATTATTAAAATTGATAATATCTGCTCCTAATTAGTCAACAAATTTGATTGTCCTTACCCATTGACAACAAATTCTTTTCTTATTTGTTGACACAGATTTTATAGTCACCTTATGTACAACTTCTTTATCTAACTGATCGACGTATTGATTTTTCTTGAATCATTGGCATTGAGTATTAAAACCGTTTTTACCTTTCTTCCAAAAATTTACACCCTCTCTGATTTTTTTCTCTTGCCACGGTCTTGAATAATTGCACTATGCACATTCCATATCTTAATCCCAAAATATAAGCTAATGCCACTATCCACATAGGTTGGCACTAAATAATCATTAAATTCATTAGCATCGACATTGTCTAGTGTATATAAATCGATAATGATGATATTAGATATTTGGACTGTTCTAGTTGAACGTGGTCCTGCACGTTGTTGTTGTTGTCCTTTATTTTCATAATACATGGTGAACTTGTATAATTTCTATTATTTATAAATTTTTGTATGCCTTCTATATATTTTTAATAACAAATGATTAATCAATTTAATTTAGCATATGCAGGGTTTCCGATTGTTCTCAGGGTTGGGAGCGGCTAAAAGTTTTTCTTCGCAAGTGGCTAGCGAAAAAAGTTTTCGAAATTTTTGGCAGAAAGTTGCTTGTAGAAAAACGGTCTTATTATGCGTCAGATATTAATAAAAGTGAAAAACTCGAAAAAAAATTCAAAAAAAATTTTCTCTATAAAATATTCCTCAGGGGACCATTGTCTTGTTTTATTTGTAAAATTAACACTGAATATGCAATGTATGTTGTCAATATGTCTGTGATTCACACGAAGAGTAGAAGACCAGCCAAGTTTATCCTAAAACGAAGATTTACTCTTATTTTCTCTTCTCTGAGACGTGGAATAATGCCGTGATTTACCAATCAGCTTCACGTCAGTAAGTCAGTGAAAAAAGGTCAAGATACGCTATTGTTGGATGTAGACCCATAGAATTTTGCCGGTCATGCTTTTTTTTCGTTCTATGACTTGTTATTAGAGAAAAGCAGCATTCAATAACACGGAATGCAGAAAGAATCCTAAATCGAAGATTACCTACTCTGAAATAGCAGTATTCTGCGAAACAGAAGCAGAGTAATTTTAGAAATGACTGTAATTCTGGAAACTTCATGTACTATTGCGCTGAATAATTCTCATGCTGATTTAAGTTTCAAAAATCTATCATTTAATTCAATATTTCTATGACTTAACGTTTTTGTGAAAAATGATTATCAACATGACCAAACAAATTTAGAGAACATCAGAATCTAGCTAAGCAGCAGAGGGAACCAGGAGTGAAATAATAAAACCAGGCGTGAAATTGTCAAATGCATCTTACATCTGTTGTTTACATGGAGAAAAGAAAGAACAGCCAAGTCTAATTAATTGCTTAGAACCATTAATAGACACCATGCAAGAATTGTTACGAAACAAATTTAGTGGTTTATTGCAAAACCAAATCTATATGCGCCAAAAAAATATGCGCTTTCTCATGGAGTTATTTGAATCATTTTCTTTATTTAGAAATAGCTGACTAACTTTTGATAGAGAATCCAAAAACAAGCTAAGGAAAAAAGAAAAGGATACAATTAGTTCAAAACTACACATCTGCATTTTGAAAAGAATAAATGAGCAAACATCATTGTTGTATTTTTTAATACAAAAAAAAATGAGCATCCTCGTTTGTTTTATCTATCAGATCCATTTAACGAGTATAAAAAATTGACGTGCAAAAGTTAACAAAAACGACATTTCTTAAAACTTCTTCATTTAACAATCAAGTGATGAGTGTTTCGTACCTATTATTTCCTATATCTTTTATGTACACTATATCCAACAGTTGAACGGTTATTCTTGACAAATTTGAAGAAGGAAATATCTGTTGTTTTTCATTCCACCCACACCCACACACATGTGTTGAAAGAGAGAAAGAAAGAGAGAGAGAGAGAATATTGAAAAGATAAAGTTCACAATGAAAGTTCATCAGAGATTCGTATAAGGCATATGACATAAAATTGTTATGCCACGATCATCGATCACCCCAAGCCATAATAACTTTACTGAAACCGACGAATACACCTTTATTTGTTTTACTAAAAAAGAATTAAGTTTTTCTTTAATAAATATGATGTATCAGAATTGACTAGGTGAAGGTTAGTCCCATCATCTCTCTTACACTTTGTGGTAAGGGGCCGTTATTTTTCCGAAAACACTCATCCATTTCAAGCGAATGGCACGGATAACCACAGGATTAGATACGGTACCTTCATGATCCAAGTCAGACATTTGATACTTCAATCCGTAAAAGCGATCTTCCGGTTTGATGCACCTTGAGTAAGATTATTGGGCTCAAAGTTTTTCATCATCTTGCAGCAGGAGATGATTATTTTTCCCAAGAAAATGATTTCTTTCAAAGTAATTTTTAGGATCAACCGGTCAAGATCTAGAATTTCGAAGATCTTTGCTTTGATCGGATAAAGTCGATGTAGAATGCGATATGTTTTCAAAAAAATTAGCCCAAGACCAGAATTTCGTGCCATGTTCTTCTATTGGCCTTCTGAAAAATTATGGGTTTATCTGTGTACATTATAATCCAATTTAAAGTTTCTGCAATTACGCTGAAAGTTTTCCCACAGAAACCTGAAAAGATATCTCAGAATGCAAATTTACTTTTCGCTTCTGATTTTTTCTGCTTAGGATATAAAAGAAATAGTGAAAGCTTTGAAGATAAAGCCTAACTTTTTGATTTTGAAGAACGTATAGCAAAAAATAAGAAAAGTAAAAAACTTTGCATTTTCAGATATTATTTTAGGTATCTGTGAGAAAATTGTCAGTCCAGTCGGACCAAGTTTCGATGGGATTGTAGTGTATATAGGTGAATGTTTTGAGTATTATAGGCAAAATTGGATTGAATAGGTTAATTCTTACAGAGCGTTTGCGATGATGCTCATAACTCAGCGAAAAATCATGGAAAAATTTTGGGAGATGTTTGTTCGATTAGACTATGTATAAGAAATGAAGGCACTGAAAAAGAAAGAAAACAATTGAGTTTTCCTGCCTTTTGAGCAAAAACTTCGAAAATTCACAACTTTTGCGTAAAAATGTCGTAAGCTGTCTTATTTTGTAGCTTAGACGTTCCTCTACACTAGCATATGTTCAATTCGAAGTCGAAAAGTTTGTCGAAAAAGAGAATGTATCCTGAATAACTTTCTCATTTACCTTTTGATATCAGTTAATAAAGAAAATTAAGTTGAAAATAGAAAGAATAGTTTATGACATACCATTGAAACAATCGTTGACCTTGATAAACTCCATCGTGTTTACTTTCTAAAACAAAAAAGTTTCGATACAGAAATTAGACAGTGATGTAAAATAATTAGACTAATACTACACAAAATTCTACCTTCATCTTCTAATTCCAATCCCAGATACTGATCATTTTTTCCCGGTAAAGTTCCGATATATTTCACAACACCCTTACTAATTTTTCCACCAGGTCTCGAAAATTTGACAACATCATTTAGATGAATATCAGAGACTGTAGTTGGAGCATATGGTCGTTTATGAAGAAAAATATCACGATTTGAACTAAAAGTAAAATTACAAAAACTTTTCGATAAATGTTGTTTATCTCAAAATCATTTACCTTTCTTGTGGCATACGATCTGAATCACCACTTAGTCGACGTTGTCGATGCTCTAAAGTAACATAAAATGTAAAATTAAAAGGTGAAAGTCTTTTTCATACCATTTAATCTATCTGTCGGATACTGTTCTTGTTGTTGTTCCTCCATATCGATATCTCGTTTGTATGCTCTCGATGCTGAATTTTGTCGATATTCGGTTGTTGTTCTATGATCATCACGTTTATTTCGACTCGGTAATGTATAACTACGAGTTAAACCATAAACATTTTGATATAATGGTGTCGAGGAAGACAAACGTGATTGAGAAATTTCAGTTTGAGGTGGATAAGGAACACTGCTATATTGACGATCATCATATCCACCACTATCTAAATTATAAAAAGAGTGATCTTCATATCCTTCAATAGGAGATTCACAGATGTTCACCATGTTAGATACAATAAATGAATGCAAAAAATGTATCGATATATTCCTAGTAAGAAACTTACTCGAATCTTATCAAGATCTTAGTAAGATTTTGCTTATATTCGTCTAAGATCTTACTAAGATTATACTATCTAAGACTTTTTCAAGGTTGGGTAAGAATCTGTTAGGATTTTAATAGTAACGATGGTGGTTTCTTAATAATATTCATTCGGGATTCGCTGAGAATTCTTTAATTTTTAATCCACATTATCCAGAGCTGCAGTTGAACAGTGTTGAAGAATGAAAAGAAATTGCACAATTTCGGGTATCCGACTATGAATCTTGATCTGCATGTGCATTCTCTAAAAAGTTGTTGAATACTTTCGAGAGAGCAAGTACTAGCAGAGTCTCGAAGAAAAATAACCGTAAAATCACTCATATTTTCGATCACTTTTATAGATGAATGAGAGCAAAACAAAGGGGTGGTGAATGAAGGTGGAATCATCAAATCTTATTATGATCTTAAACGATAAAATCTTAGATTATCTTATCAAAATCTTAAAGGATAAGATCTTAGTAAGTTAATTTTAAGCCGTGTCTAAGATTTTTACTACTGATACATTCTGATCTGTTAATACTACGGTCACTGGTCTCGAAGGTGTTTAAGAATTGATCTACAGACGTGGTGTTAGTGATAGGACT